AGCACTCTTCTTCAGCACCACATTCTCTCAAATGCATTGATTTTCTTCTCATCATCTTTCTTAATTCTCCAGCTCTCACATCCATACATGGTAATAGGGAATACAATGGCTTGTATGATTCTAACATTTGTGCTGAGTTGTAAGTCTTTGCATTTTAGGATCTTCTCTAGTCCTTTCATAGCCATCCTCCCCATTCTTAGTCTTCTTCTGATTTCCTGACTACAGTACCCATTTCTATCACTTTTTGACCCTAAGTATGGGAATCTTTTTACTATTTCTATTTCTTCATTGTCTAGGTTGAACTTGTGAAGGTCCTGAGTGGTCATTATTTTTGTTTTCTTTATGTTCAGCATTAAGCCTGCCTTTACACTTTCTTCTTTAATCTTCCTTAGTATGTATTCTAGATCTGTGAGGTTTTCTGCTAGTATTATGGTGTCATGTGCTTAGCTTAGATTGTTGAGATTCCTTCCTCCTATTTTCATGCTTCCTTTTGTACCCAAGCCTGTTTTTCTTATAAGATGTTCTGCATACAAGTTGAACAGATAGGGTGAAAGGATGCAGCCTTGTCTGACCCCTTTGCCAATTGGGAACCATTTCTGTTTCCCTGTATTTTGTTCTGACAGTAGCCTCTTCTCCTGAGTACAGATTCCTCATCAGGACTATCAGATGTGTTGGCACTCCCATGTCTTTAAGGCAGGGGTAGGCAACCTTTCCCCTTTAAGGGCCAAGGGACTTCAGCTCCCAGAAGCCTCAGCCATGTTGGCCAATAGTCCCATGTTGGCCAATAGCTCCTGGGATTCTGGGAGCTGAAGTCCCTCAGCTCTTAAAGGGGAAAGGTTGCCTACTCCTGCTTTAAGGGTATTCCATGGCCTTTCATGGTCAGTCAAAGGCTTTGCTATAGTCATAAAGTACATGCTGGTTTTCTTTTGGAATTCCCTGATGCGCTCCATTAGCCATCGTATATTTGCAATGTGATCCCTAGTGCTTCTTTCTTTCCTGAACCCCACTTGAACCTCTGGGATCTCTCTTTGCATATATGGTTGGAGTCTATGTTGCAGAATTTTGAGTATGATTTTGCTTGCG